ACACAGTGGCAAAAGGTCATGGTATTTTGAATCCCAGCTCAGGTCTGAATAAGCAAACACAACAATGAATCTCGTGTGAGCCGTTTCCTCTGTTTGTTAACACATGAAACAGAAAATGGCACGTTTGATTCCCATTCTGTCCTGAAGATGTAAAAAGCCCTTGCATCTTGGCTTGTCATGTTCAGCCAAACAGCCACAAGGTTTCATAAGACGCCGGCAAATCGACCTCCCTCCATTCACAAACAGAGGTTATTGCATGCCATTTACTGAGTGCTTTTAGTAGCCAATGAAGGTGTTTGCTTTTAAAAATTGGGGTCACTTGGAGAGCAGCTCGGGCATTTTTTCCCCAGGTATGTGTGTGTGTGTGTGTTTGCTGATTTTTTTTTTAAAGCACACATCCTATTAGAGGCTGTCTGAAGCCTGAAGGCTGAGTCGTAGTTGAGCACCGCACAGTTCAATCAAAATGCCAAAAGGACACGTTCTCTCATGGGCGTGTGTCGTAAGCACACAAAAGCTTCAAGAGTTTAGCAAAGAGAGCAACTCGGAGAAACGCCTTTCTCCCAGTCTCCCTGCAGAGTGAAATGATTTTGGCTGTGTGGGGTGTCGTGTTTCCCTCATATTGATCAGGGGATTAAACGTGTTTAGTTTTGATTCAAGTTGCCATGGAGGAGTATGTAGCTAATCACTTAGTGTCAAGGCATTAGTGCTCGCCGCCGTGGGTTCGATCGTGGTAAGCAGCTGCAATGTTTCCTCTGGGAATCTCTGGAACTGATGGTCGGGCTTGTTCATTTCTCCGCCCCCCCCCCCTCCCCCCCCGTGCTCCCCTCCACCCTTCTTCAACCTCTGATAGCCTGCATTATTTTCAAGAGGAGAGGAGCGTATCCATCCATTTTGTGTTAATGACTCAGGGGCATGTCTCAAGCTGTCAGTACATGGACCCCATTCGACTAAGACAGCGTTGTATTTCTCAACGGTGATCAGATGTGTTGCAGATGTAGGTTGGGAGGGGGGGGGTGGGGTTGACATGTAGGTGGCACCCCATCGAGACAGCGCTGCGATTACTGGAGGTGGACGCTCCTTTAATGCCCTCATCATTCTTGGTGAAAAACCATTCCATCCCACACACACAGAGAAAGCGCCGAGGCTTTGAGACATCATTAACCCGCAGCAGCAGCGCAGCTAGGCCAGGCTGACTGATGGAAAGATGCACTCCATCTTGTCGTCCTGTGGTATCACAAAGGTCACCTGTGCGGAGATACCATCACACTGAATTGTGATGTTCTGTTGGCTGCCACTTGCGTTTTATGCGCTGCGTATCTCATGACGAGTGAAAGCCCCCGTTTTCACCGCTGTATCACACAGTAGCACTGCGGCTGGATCGCTCAGTGCTCCCACAACGGAACATTTCGGCAATGCTGATAAAAGAACATTTAGGTCAGCCTGACAATGCTAAGTAGTCGCGGTGAGCGGCACAAACCTCGACATCAAGGATTTAAAGGTCAAGAGGGCTCCTAAGCTGTGAGAGAACTGTATATGAAGTTGAAGATGAGCCCCTTCATTTCTCCAGACTCCTCATTAGCTGTCACGTATTGTGCTCAAATAGTGCTATAGCCTGTATTACACATTTATTGGGGTTATGCACTTGTCCCAAGTCGGAGAAGGAGATTAGCTTTTTTCATCTGCTTCCAAATTTCTCACTTTCTATTTTTGTCTTCTGATAGCACACTTGCTGAAGGAGAAGGTGATCTGCATAAATGTGATTGTTTAATTCCAGAAACAGATCTGACAAATACAGTACCAGTGTGCTAATTTGTCTGTGCCTGCATCACACATTACACAAAATACACGTTAGTCTCTCTTTGTGGTAGCTTTGACAGTGACGGGCATGACCAATAGAAATCACATGTCCCTTTGAAATTCCTGCACAGCAGCATCAGCGAGCTATCCATTCCCAAAATGACATTTAAAGTTGTAATCCAGTATCATTTTACCCCTCACTGTTGTAGCAAACTCATGCATATTTATCACGCCCTAATAGACTAATGTGTTCCCATCTCTCTGCCCCTGTAAATGATCTCCTCTGACTGTATCGGGGCCGTTAGCCATGCTTTCTGGGCTGACACTCATGAATATGCATCCCTGTAGTGTAAGCATGTTTTCCCCAGGTCTCATTAGCTTCTTCTGGCTACCCAGAGTCCTCAAAAACATAATTACACAACTTGTGCTCAAATCAATCAAGTTTGGTCCTTTGTTTTGTATCTTTGCAAGCATTCTGGTATGGTTACAGTGTGTTCTGATGTGCAGTACTAACTGCCAAAAGTTTCTCTAGGAAACAAAACATAAACGGAAAAGGAGCACATCAGAGATTAGTTTATTGTCATAGTCACCTACTTAACCTATGTAGGCATTACTTTTACCAAACTATTTATACTTTTCTGCAAGCTTTTAGCTAGTTTTCATGCATCCTCAGTAGCAAAACATGTGCACTCAATCTACCTTAGCTGGCACAAAGGTTACAATGTCCCTATGTAACTTTTGTTTGGTATACATTTTCAATTTCTCTGAGCTATTTGGGATCAGTAGGACCTGATAAGTGTAAAAAACTAAACATTGTCAATGATAGTTAAGTCCCAATGTCCTCAAATAAGATGATACCAAAGTCCCAAAGTCTTCAAACGAGTACTTCCAAACTCACAGTGTCTTAGCTTGTTACTGTTCCTAAAATTGGTCAAATTTGTTGCCACATCAAACTACAGACATTATTAATCATAAATAAACAAGTTTCAATAATAAAATGTCATCAGGTGTTGGACCTTGTCCAATTTTGTGTCGGGATCGGCTGTACAATGACTTGGCAGAAATGGCTGCCATCTTGTTTTTACATGGACTAGTGTATTGTGCTCTTACTACCACTAGATGGCATCAAATGTCTAAGTTAAGTAGAATGAAGTATAAGGTCAAGAAAACCCAAAATGTGATGTCCTCATATAAGGACACAGGGTCTCAGGAGGATATTGCAACCCTAGTTCTTTTAGCACAGACAACGCCCCCTACAGGACTCTATGGGTAATACTCTCCTCCAATCACAAGCACACATTCGCCCACTGAAATTGCATAAACATAGCTGACCAATCAGGATGTGCCTACCTGAATATGTAAGGAGCCCACAGTACATAAGGCAGTACATGACGCTATCCACCTTCCTACACCCTCTTCAGCAAGTGGCATAGGAACAACAGGGCTCCTAAGAAGAGGGCTCTGCTTGTGCTAATAGAACTAGGGTTACAATATCGTAACCTTCATTCTATTGCACACAGGCTCCGCTCTCTACTGGACTCTATCAGTGCAGTGGGTGGAGCCTGATAGATGAACAGCCTATTGTGGCATAACATCGATCCAGCCACACCGATTTTGAGTGGCTAAAGGTTAGCCATCGTAGCCTGCCCTTTGCTTTACAACCTATGCTGCTGCAGTAAAGAAGTAAGGGGCCCCATCCGACAATGATAGGCAACCAAACTGGGTGGAGTCATGGCCTTACCCTGCTGTGGTAGAAAGACAAGCAATAGACACCCTGAACTGCACATTTACCAGGACACCCAGAGCACTGGAACATGTGGCTGAATCATGCCCAGAGCGGAGTCAGATGCAACTGATCAGGGGGCTAATTGCCATCGCTGAAGAGAACAGGGTGGCACACAGTGTCATGTACTGCTTATAAGGCTCCGCACATATTTGAGTAGGCGTGTCCTGATTGGCTGGCTATGTTTATGCATATTTAGAGGACGAATGCATGCTCATGATTGGAGAAGAGTATTACCCCTAGAGCCCTTTGGAGGGCGAAGCCTGTGTGAGATAAAATTTGGTGATTATTGTGACTATAAATATACTAAAGATCAGCATACAACACATCAAATGATTCTGTTTGGATGTTTATTTTCCTCCTAAACCCAACTTTGTTGATTTATATTTTCAATCAAATCAGAATTTGCTCCACACCCCCCCGGCAACAGCAAAAGTACCCCCCGGGGTACAAGTACCCCTGGTTGGAGTGCTGTTGAATCAGATTTGAAGTCTTCTTTGTGTATTCACAATATAGAGTAAGATGTTGGCAAAATGTGTCTGTCTGAGGTTGTTTGGAAAGCACACATTTTAGCACTGCCAAGTGGCTTTTGCCGACATTCAGTGAATAATTGAAGTGGTCTGCAATGATTACTTCATTAGCACTTAGAAAGTCCACTTTCTTTGGTTTGCTTTCTTGCTGAATGGAAAATAATTGTTGCTTATGCGCTTTATTTGCCATTAAACCACTTTTTCTTGAGCGATGTTTCTCAGGGGACTCAAATTACAGCATTGCTTTGTGTCATTTTCTGTCCATGAACTTGAACGTGAAGCAGAAAAAATGTAATTTCTGCCTTTTTTTGGCCCAGCTAAAAAGCACTGAGGAGGACTTGAGGGTTCCAGTTCTTTTCCTCACCCCCTTTTTTCTTCTTTTCCTTTTGACCATAAGATGGTAAACAAATAGCAAGTGGGTCGGCACCGTGCCGCACACAGCCCAGGGGGCCGTTACTCAATTATGGCCCTTAATCAGGCCCTCAGCTCATGAACTTTGTTTTGACTTGGCCTTGGATACAGTTTTCAGCTGGCAGCACAGTGGTGGTCATTGATCAAGCATGGCACTGTGCTTTGAAACCTGCAGGGAATGTCTGAAGGAAAGAAAGAACAAAAGAGAGAAAGGAGGTTGCGGGGGAGATTAGTAAAATTAGAATGTTCTGTAGAAACTAAGGCTGTAGGAGCTTTGGCAAGATCAGAATAAAAAATGCAGTGTGTGTATTCCCGCTGCAGTACACTTTATTCGTCTGTGTGTGTCTGTCAAAGTTACATAGTTTATCTGTGGACAGTTTCTCAGGTGAAGGAAAATTAAAGATGTATATCTCGGCGTGTTAAGGCTGGTAGCAGAAGGATTTCACTGACGTCTCGCACTTTGCTTCCTGTCTCCACAGTGAACAAACACAAGCCGTGGATTGAGACATCGTACCATGGGGTGATCACTGAGAACACTGACATCGTTCTGCTGGATCCTCCTCTGGTGGCCCTGGACAAAGACGCTCCCATCCCCTACGCAGGTACGGTACATTTCAACCCTAATGGCTGTCAACTGGAGGGTGATCAAAGCAGCAGGGGTGAAGGCGGGCTAACTCAGACCAAATGGAGGCAGTCAGCAATGACTCAGGTGTTAATCCGCACAGGGAAGCATAGCTGCAGGATATACTTACACTAAGGATATAAACCATATAAAGCTGTCATGTGATATCACTGTGAAGGGGCTTAAATTGGCTTAGTGTACTATAACTGCTGCATCACAGCTTTTTTTTTTTTTAGTGTTAACCCTGCAACCATTTAATCCAATAATTCCAAGTGAGCACACATCATATACAGGACTCATATTTCATATTTATTTAGGGTGGAAAGTGGCCTAAATAAGCCCCATGGTGGCTGAGGACACTAAAAAAACAAAACAAAAAAAAAAAAGAGTCAAACCGGATTAGATTCTTCCCACTTTGTGACCATTCCAGCTCCTCTAAAGGGTGCCAGCTCTTGTGGGAGGACGTTAGCTGCAGGCTGTTGGTGAGCCCAGCCAGCCTATCTCCCGCCAGGGTGCTAATGTGGCCAAGGCCCTTGCATGGGGCTGCCATGCGGGGCTGGAGCCCACTCACCAAGGCCCTCGAGCTGGGCTGGATGGATGGATGAAGAGGGTGTGTTTGTGTGCGTGTGTAATCGTGCATGTGTATATGCTTACTAAAACATTTTCCCATTGTTTGGTACAGTGTGTGCATGTACTGTGGCATGGCCTGAGGGGGCTCACTGTAATGGCCACCCTACAGGGAGAAAGAGAGGAAATGATGAGACAGTAGGGAGGGTAGCTGGCTGACCAGCATATGTCCTCTGGCTCTCCACAGACTGACAGCCACACAACGGCAAAGTACACACATGCACACACACACAGTGGGCAGAGCGCAAGGGCATTCCTGGATTTCATATGTGAGGGTACTGAGACAGATTTCGCGCTAAATTATTAATAAACAAGAACATTAACATCACCAGTCTGTCTCACAGCACTCGCCCTCTTTTTTCCATGCTATTTCTATCAGTTCTCACTTTTCTCTTGTTTCCTCTCATCACCACCTCCCACATATTTTTTTTTGTATCTTACCTCCCTCCCTGTGCACCTTTGAGCTACCCCAACAAACCCACACACACACTGCAGCAGTCACCCTTTTTTTCTCTACCTCTTTAAGTAGTGATGTCCAACCAGGCAGACACAGTTCAAGGCAGAGACAGTTATCCAGTAATCTTGCCGTCTTCCAACAAATTGCTGGGGCGGAGTGGCACCAAAGTGCACAGGTACCGGTTCAGGCTCATTAATTTGGCCAGCCAGGTTTTAATTAAAGTACATCTAAGACACAGACACACACCGACTGACTGACTGTGATCATGCTGCTGGATCGGTGATGGCAAGAACTGCAATACACAGAAAACACTTTCATTTATAAGCTCATAAAATCACCACCTGCTTCAGTACATTCACACCGTGTGTGACACACAGTGCTCATTTCAAAGGTGTAATTATGTTTCGTTTATACATCTACACCAAGCAAACACTTTGAATTGAGAATAGATGTTAGTGTGTCATTTAAAAACATGACTTTCCCATCTGTACCTCCCGAAAAGAACCTCACAGCTTTAATTCAATAGGAAAATACCGATAAGACAACACAGCCACAGTGTCTCCCTGCTAGTCTTTTCTATCACTCTAAAGCTGTCCAGTAATTCTCTCGGACTGCCGACCAGGGTGCAACAGTCACCACACTCACTGGGCTGGAACAACAGGAAAAGTGGCACTGCTGTGCCTGAAAGCTGGCGAAGACTGACATCAGCCATCACTGCAGCTACAAGCCTCAAAATCACACAGACAGCATGTCAGGAAGAGTGAAATGCGCTGGTATAGATAGACCTATTGTTTTATGCATGGCTGTGTCTGACAAAGTGCAGGGGTCTTGTTCGCACCCTAAGACACGAAGAAAATACAATAGGGTTGATGATATAGTTAAAAGCTACATATAGCGATATCAAGGAAACACACATCACAAGCTTCCTGCCTACTTTTTATTCATGAACTGAGTTACACATGTGTACGAGCGGAACTCATCTGGAGCATATATTCGTGTCTGGTGTGTCAGAACACATAATCTTAATAGCTGACAAGTGCCAACACAAAATCAGTCAGTCGTCAACTTGAATTTCTCCATTCCTGTGACAGCTTTACATGAAGTGATGTTGTTGAGAAAGTAAGTGATTCCTCAACTTGGTATACCTAGGCTGTATGTGTTACTGAAAAAGCACTGACACCAGATAGAATGTCAATATTGGGGATTTGTGCAAAACCCCAGATTAAGTTTAATAGTAAGGTTTATGAACAGTCATTGCTAGTATTTATCAAAATTAATTGTTGCTACATTAACCCTGCAGTAGTCATAAAACTTGGTTAAGACTAGGGATGCACAATATTGGATTTTTTGCTATGTAACAACTCATTTGACCGATAACTGATACCGATATCAATACGTACATCCACTTTTTCCCCCACCTAATTTTAGCGATCAGTCTCTTCTGCAGTGGAATTAACATCATATTATGCATGCATACTCTTATCGTGATGGTCCACTAGCAGATGGAGACATAAAATACAATGCTTGTCAATGTACGTGATATTCATTCATTGTGCAGAAAGTGTAAGAAAAAGCATGTTAGCCGATTCTGGTAGTAAATTTTAAAGCGGATATTGACTGATACTGATGATGTACCGATATTATTAGCATGTTGGCCAATTCCGAGATATTTCCTTTAAAAGCCAATATAAGCTGATATGGATGACGTGCCGATATTATTGTGCATCGCTAGCTACAACTATTCAAAGTTCATGGTTATGATTTCAAAAAAAAGTTCACTTACGTGTAGTTTTCTGATGGTGGTGTCTGGTATCGATCCTCCACACCCTTAAGACATCAGTACACTCCAACCAAAGTGCTTGTTGAAAGGTCAGAGTCTGAAACCCACTCCCCCATCATCACTCCAACAATAGTTTCCAAAACCAACAAGCTGCCTGTCGCAGTGAGTGCTTCACTTTTTGAGATAGGCTATTGGAAAAACCATGGACAATTTTACCTTCTGACATGTTCTGTCGACATGCATATGAGTAGTTTGTATACTTTACTTTTCGCCACTCTACGTACATGTAAAGGACACACTACTGCCTCCTTTGACCGTTGGCATTGGCCATAAATGCCGATGCGAGAATTGTCCAATATGGACGCAATACCAAGGCACACTGGCCTGGAGTAGGAGTGCAATATGGCCAAGATTTTCTATCATGGTATATGTAGTTTCATCATGGTACAAGTATCAGGATGCAGTAATTGTTCTGTCAATTCAATTAAGAAGTGGTTTTAAATAACTATGTTGTACTGCATCATATTTTATTATTTTCTTCCTTGTTTGGAACCTCCATATAAAAAAATACAGGTTTCTGTAGGCCTATTTACAATTTCACTCTCCTTCATGTCTCCTCAAATCGAGTTACCTTGCTGGAGCTGGATTTAAGAGATCATGCAAGATTCAAGAGATTACGTGAGAATCCAGCCCTGCTTTGCTACACAGCCTATCCAGAATAGCTCCTGCATTAGAAATGGTATCGCCAAATTTCTGCCTGTGGACACATTTATACAGTTGCATGTTATATACCGCCATATTACCCAACCCTACCGTGGGCTGGTATATACTGTATATGTACTTTTTAATCAAAGGTGTCATTTCGGAGGGTTATTTTGGACTTAGTGCGGTGCTGTGGTGCCATCCAGAATGCATCTCTATCAGCTTGGTTTGCCACAGAGTTTAAAAAAAAAAGCCACAGCAGTTGTCTTGATGGAAGCTATGAACAAGTATTAAAGGATTCATTTGCATCTGCTTAGATGTGATTAATGGATTAACTGCAACACTCAAGGGAGGTTTAATGCGGTGGAGACAAATTCAAAGGTATCCATGAGAGACGGCTGTAGCTCAGATAGTAGTGCGAGGTATCCGCAAATCATACGTTAAGGTAAGGCTGGTGTGTTTAAGTGTTGTGCGTCAAATTGGACATGAGTGTCTGCCAAAGTAATGTAATGCTGAGGATTTACTATATGTAAATTTAAAGTTATTCGGTTGTGCTAACTGTGGTTGACAGCAGCAGCTAAACATTATTGATGTATGTATGCAAAATACATTCTGAAATATTCCCTTTGCTGCCTTTTCAAGTGTACTCTGAACTTCACAGCGGTGGATAATAAGTGCGACCAGCTCAGTGGTCCATTAGGTTATTAAACTGAAGTGGCTTTTTTAGGAGACTGCCACCACTGCACTGACTAGGCTTCTAAAGTGCCGGGTTAACAAGGTTAATGGGCAAAAGCTGTGCCGAGCGGCGTTATTTGACACAGGTTAGCCAGCTGTCAGTCACTCCTGGTTTTCTATTGCCGGCACACACACACCCTGACACCCACGCATTTTCTTGTGGCATGGGTGTCACGCCACATCATATATTCATGTGTCAATCCTTTACTTTTACTGGTCGCTGGAGCCCTGTGGCGTTTGCTTGAACGCACAGCTAATGTCTCACCAGTGACCCACGTATGCATGCTGCTCAGTCAACAGCGCTGGCAGCTTAGACAGGTTCATAAGACCTATGTTTCACCCTTTATGTTGCCTCTGGTGTGTCACAGACAGTTTGCCTTTTCTCAAACTCCGAATAACAGAGGATTAACTTTTTATTTCTATCTGTGTTCTGCAATCATTCACTGCAAATAAGAAGTCGGGCTGACGGCAGGAATCAGCCCGTTCATGTCGTCTCATCTGATGTCTGAACAAACAATGTCTCTGAATTCTAATTTTACTGCATTACCAACTGTACCTCTCTAGGCATTGCTAAAAATCAATTATCTCTGACCTTGGCGTTCTTCAGAGAATCAAACACCTTCCCATTACGCCAAAAACACTGGGCGATATCATATCGTCATTCACTGCCATAAAGCAA